GCCATATATATATATATATATATATATATAGCAATTATACACTACATACATGATTATAGACCAAAATAGAGCAATTAAATAACTAGTTATGACGGTATCAAAATTTAATTAGAAAATACATCTACAGACACAGATAGTTCAGATGCTGAATTCTCAGCTACTTAACTGGCTCCTTCCCTATATTCAAATCAAAAACAGAGTGCAGAATATGTGCATGTCAATACAGCTCAATATGTAACACCCATCGATTACATTTTTCAATAATGCACTTATCATGCATTCAATTGAATTTAATAACAGTTTGTGAGAAATTTATCGTATTGAGTATAATATTGATTGCATATAATTGAAATAAAACAGACTGTGTATCGAAAGTAAATAAACAAATAATTTATATATCAGAGTAGAAATTAACATATTTTCCTAATGCCCTTATAACTCCTATCAGAAACATATATCAAAATTCAAGCCCTTGTGACTTTTTGTGTTAGAATATCAGAAAATAGACCCTTAGGACTCCCAAATGCTTAGCACATACAAATATTCAAAAATTCAAATCCTTATGAACCTCGAAACTTTCACCATATATCATCTCTCCTCATAATCACACATTTCAACTATATATATATATATACATTTTAATAAAAGAAATATAAATAAATCATTCTTCAAAAATGCATATAATGCTTAATCCGTAAGCAACATATTCAACTATTAAGCATAATTTTACTAGATTATCGGGAATTGTTTAGAACATTGTTTTAAGGTTTTAATTACATTCAAGTATTATTTTTTGGGCTAATAATCATTTTGTAATTTGGTAAAAATGGTGCTTTTTTAAAATTATTTGGTAATATCTTTTTAGAAAAATACCTAAATGTCCATAATAGTCATATTTATAGTATATAGAAAGTTATATGATAAAAGTTTAGCAATTGTAAAGTTATTCTCTTTTTTACACTATTAAATTGTAAATTTAATCAGGAAAAAATTCTAAAATTTTCATATTTTTAAAAATTGAGATAGGCAGAATGCAACATGCATCAATCCGGATAACTGCCAAATTAAACTAGCTAGACCAACATCATAAAACAAACCGAAGGCACCAAAATCCAATCTTTCTATAGGATTCTTCCTCTCTCTAGTCTGTTGCCTAGGGAATTGGGGGAATGGGTTTCGATAAAAAATGAATTGAGTGCTTAAAAGATTCAAGTCTAACACCACGTGTATTGGCCTTACAGTGCTCTCCACTATAGAGCGCAGCGTCACAATGCTTACCTCAATGCCGCAACTTCGAATTAATTTGACAAAAATATAGAGAGTTTAATGCCGCAACGCTGCCTTCCCTGACATTGTGGTACTCATAGGAGAAATTTTTAAAATTTTCATCAATGTACACCGACTCTTAGGATTCGCTTCAAAACTGGTCCATACACCCCATATGCACATAGAACACTCGCATGCACATTCAGAAGACATAATTGCAGAAATTTCAATGGGTTGCTCTTACAAAACCAGTCAAAATAGGTGCAACTGTGCACAAATTCAATAGGTGTTACATGAGTACCTAAAGATCAAACAATTTTAACTTAAGCAATATGTTTTTAAAATTTTAGGTTTGTCATCATAGATTTGAGCCTAATCTATTGTCTTAATTATAGATTTGGGAGGTCCATACATTGAATCTATTGAAAAGTAACCTTGTACTCTCTTTATCTATAATGGATCTACAAATGGATGGTTTTTTTTAAATTAAAATACTAATCATGATTATTATGAACTTAATCTTAGCATGCTCCTATGATGGTTTTCTTACCTACACTTTTATTCACTATCATGATTATCACCATCAAATAGCTAATCCTAGTGCTCCTTTTTCATGTCATTACTCTTATCCAAAACATGAGAATAATTTTCATCTATTCCTTATCATATGATCATTAATAACATCAACTTTATGTTGGTGAAGAAACTAGAAACGCATGCCCATATATGTTTCCCTTTTCTTTAATAGAAAATTAATGCCCTCAAAAAGCAAATTGATATTAAGCATCCATCTTTAGGCTAGGATCACCACATCCTACTTTGTCATCTTCTCCAACTAAGCCACTTCACTTGAGGCATTTGAAGATGTTACCTATGATGAGTCGCATTCAAACGGGAAAAATGATGGTATCTATTTCTTTGACTTTGATATTATTGATAATTTTAAATTTAGGTTTTGTTTGGGACGGTTTTGTTTCTGTTTCTTAAAGCAGTTTTTTAGTACAATTTTTTTTTAATATAATTTTTGAACTAAAATGCTGCTTTAAGAGAAAGAAAACCGTCCTAAACGAAGCCTCAAACTTTTGCTTCTACCTTCCAAATAAGACCCCTAGCAAGATCAAAAAGACACATATAATCAACATTGAATATCATTAATGAAGAACAAATGCAAGAACTGATTCGATATGTTGAAGTCAATATCCAGCAAGAACAAGTGATCACTTCATAAAACCACCTTATAATATATAGGGCATGATCACTACATCATCATTCAATATGTTTCCATGAAGACTTCAAAAGAAAATGCGCTCATGAGCAATTCAAGAAGACGAGCTTCTTCAGTTCAGATGGGCAAAGACAAAACAGCATGAAGATAACACAAGAGGGCGCATTTACTTTATGGTATGTGTGGAGGAGCCTAGCTTTCTTCATGAAAACTCTTCAGTAGAATTGCCAATATCTTTTAACTTTCCTTCTCATTGACACATCTGGCTTGTGAGGGACCTCTCCACTTTTACTCCTCCACTAGCTTAGCAACTAGTAGAAAGCATGCATGTTGGTGGACATCAAAGACCTAAGAGGAAAATGATTCATCATATATCCCATTATCCCATCCCTGAAATTTATATCCCATTATCCCAACCAAATTATAATAATAACAATGATGTTTTTCTTTGCAAAACCTTTCACTCAAGTGGCAGACTATTTGATTTTTAAGCTATTTGCTTCATATTCAAACCCATGATACTCTTTGGAAGAATTCTCTAATTTTATCATTAGTTTAAGATTTTGTTTGGGACAGTTTTTTGCTACTGCTTTTTCGCCGCTTTTAAAGAATTTTGATACGAAAAAATTGTTGTAGAAACCAGTAAGAAAACTATCCCAAACGAAGCTAGCCTGAATTTATACATGATGCTTGGCTTATCTTACTTTTAATAAATTAAATTTTTAAGAAAATGGTGGCTTCTTTTCATTATTTAAAAGATTAATTATAACAATTCATTATATAAAAATAGAGTTAAATATTAAGTTTATGCCAAATTAAATGATTTAATCAAACTATTTAAAACTTTGGCCACACATGGAAGTCACTTTTGAAAGAAGTGACTATGATATATTAAAAAAGTGTGGCCAAAAGTTACTTTTTAGCTCTATATTTTAAGAAAATATGGATAATATAATATTTAATTAGATCAACTATTCAAAAAAAAAATAAAAAAAAGTAATTACAACCATTGGTTTGAGCTTTGTCTGAAATCAATTCAAAACCACTGAAACTTGTATGTTTAGGTCATGATCCATGCAAAATTAGCCAAACATTCAGTTTTGGCCAGCTAGTTTTAGTGGCTTAATTAATTGGTCTAAAACAGTTGTAATTAATCGGGCTAAAACTGATGAAACTGTTAAAAACAGTAAACATAGCTAGCTGAAACCCATCTGAAATATTATTGAAACCACCAAAAATCTATCAAAATCATTGAAATTCAAATGACTGTTCATAAAAAAAATACATTTTGATCTTTGTTGTGTGCTGGAATATTCGCGGCGGTAAAGAAAAGTAAAGTTTATCGTCTTAGCTTTGTAAGAAAATCCATCACACAAATCAGATAAAAAAGAGATGATGCAGTATTTATAAGAGACACCAAGATTTTTACGTGGAAAACCCTGAATAGGGGAAAAACC